ACAGCTTGCTGTGTATTTTCAATGCATTCTTGTGTATGTTACAATTACCATGACTTTTGTGTCTCCTTCCCTGCCCCCACAAAAACTGGGGCCTTTCTGTCCCTCTCCTCCGCCCCCTCCCCCCCCCAATCTATTGCTGGAATCACAGAACACTAGAACTGGAAGAGATCTCGAGAGGTTGAGTCCAGTGCCCTGCCCTCATGGCAGGACCCAGTACCATCTAGACCTCTCTGATAGATGTCTATCTAACCTGCTCTTAAAGAGGCATGACTCCCAGAGACCTCCCCCAAACAAGGAGAAATAGAGGATGGGCACTAGGAAAGTTGTCTCCTGCCAACAAAGCATGATATGGACAGCACTTATGATGTAACTGACAGTAACTTAAGTGTCTTTTTCTCACCCGAGTAACAAGAAGTTACATCAACTTAAGTGACAGTGCAAACCAGCCTCATGAGTGAGTTATGTTAGTCCTTCCAAATGAGTATCAATAAAATATTTGTATCATATTGTTAAATATTCTGTATATGATACATATTTTATATGTGCCTGAATTTTAAATATTTTACTAGTACTATTTGCCTTTAAGGCTTGTATTTGTGAGTAATTAAACCTGACTGAGGGGCAAAGAAAAATAATGAATAGATAGTTTAAAAAATCTAATACTCAAGATTACCCAAGCTTAGTTTTTAATACATAAAACTTATAATACTTTTAAGTTTTTACAAAGCATTTAACTTTTTAAAAAACCAAACAATAAAAACGTAATAAAAATGTCTACTAAAATTTTTTCACTTTTAATGTAGAACAAAATTTTGACCAAAAATAAAAAATGATCTGTTTGCTTAGACAGTTTCAATTCACATTTCTCTTTCATAAAATGAATGAGATGTGTTACTCTATTACCTCTTGAGGCCAAGTAGATAGGACACAATTCCCTGATGCTATGACAACAGATTCTGTGATCCAGAAAAACAAATTAAATACATTTTTCCAGCAATAAGTGTAACTCTTACCTCTGTTCTTGCTGTGTTTTCCAAACATGTTCAATTTTCTGGTTACTGGTTTTAAGAGAAGCCTTAGTATACATTTCTAATCTTTTCCTCTTCTTGAGGCCAAGTAGATAGGACACAATTCCCTGATGCTATGACAACAGATTCTGTGATCCAGAAAAACAAATTAAATACATTTTTCCAGCAATAAGTGTAACTCTTACCTCTGTTCTTGCTGTGTTTTCCAAACATGTTCAATTTTCTGGTTACTGGTTTTAAGAGAAGCCTTAGTATACATTTCTAATCTTTTCCTCTTAGCTAAGAGAGCCTTGTTAATGTCAGCTGTATTTGAACAAATAATAATCAGAATGGTATTATGTATTGCAACAGACGTGCTATGCATTTTATTAGAAATTTAAAAATATTTTGCTATTGCTATTTTTAATATAACTCATGCTTTATTAAAGCTCACAAAGTTTTGTAATTGAAAAATTGATTGGATTATATGGGCTTCTAACACTTACAATATTATTTATTGAAAAAGTACTTGCTAACATTGTTTTGGAAAAATACTTGTTAAAGTTACTTGGATTTAAGTAGCAATAAGATAAGTGAAAATGTGAGCCTACCAACAGTGTCAAAAACTGTTAAATGAATATAAGAGGTAAACCATGTGCCATCTTCAATCACACTAAATGGCCTTAAAAAGGATAGTTTGAGTAAACATAACTGTACAAATTATAGGTATACCCCAGCTTCAAGCCTGTAATAAGCACTTTGTTCCTTCTGCCATAAATTACTTCAAGGTTATATCAGATGATTTTTTTTTTGTCCATCTATTTTAGCTCAGACTGATGTCTCATTGCTAGCTCCATTCTTAACTATTATTCCTGTGCAGATGGCATTATCTTTCGCTCAACACACTTTCTGATATCTCCATATCTCATTGTTTTGCCTGTCTTTAGTCAACATTAGACTACATTAACTTCCTATTTAATCATTCAAAGACTGATGTCATCTTCCTGTGTAGATTGCTCTGACTAGCAGTGCTTTCTTATATTTACTTCCAAAATAAGAAATCTTAGTCACTTTTCAATAGTTAATTCACAGACAAGGGAGGTCTATAAGATCCCCTTCCACTTTGAGGCTCGCATACAAAAGATATTTATTCTGTAAGATATTTATTTTTGATATCAAATTATTACTCAACCAATTGTTGAGTAGATAAGTAATCTTGTCTTTCCTGTCTTCTTTTCCCACTGCTTTTTGGCCCTATGGTATACCATGTATTAATTTGCTCCTTAACTGTGACGAAAAAAAGAAAGATGAGAGGAATAGGTTTTTCCCTTATACTGCTCTTCCACTCTGAAATTTTCTCCCCTTCCCCTCTCCTCCCCCCCAAAGCTGCATAATTTTTTGCCAAATTTTTTCTTAAAAATCTTCCTTTCTGCTTTAGACTGTGATGGGTATCCACTCATGTATCCTTGTATTCTCTCTTCTTTAATAATTAGTCTATACAAATACTTGTATCTTCACTATGTATACATTTTAGCACCATGGTCACCAACCCGTGGATCGCGATCGACTGGTCAATCGCGAGGTGTTCGGGAAACCCCGCCCCTCATTTTCCCCCCACCCCCGAGAAGCCCCACTACCTACCTCTAGTGTAGTGCCGGCTTCCCACGGGGTGGACGGAAGTCCTCTCTGAAGCCCGCGTCACTTCCGGGGGTTCCGGAAGTGCGCGGGCTGCTCCCCCTCCCACAGCTCTGTTGCGTGCTGGGGGAGTGGGCGTTGGCCCTAGAGGAGGAGTGCGGGGGCTTCCCTGCACTGCCGGCGCTGGAGGGGTGAGTTGAGCGCAGGGGTTTCCCTGCGCCGTGGGAGCGGGGTTTGGCCCTGGGGTCGGGAGGGGAGGGAGTTGGCTGGGCCACGCCGTGCCGCGGGAGGGGGGTTTGGCCCCGGGGCAGGTGCCCACGAGGGTTGGCCATGCTGCGGGAGGAGATGGGCCAGGCCATGCAGTGGAAGGGAGGTTTGGCCCCAGGACAGGCTCCCATGGGGGTTTGGCCCCGGAGCAGGCACGTGCGGGGGTTCCCTGCACCGTGGGGGAGAGAGGGAAGGGGGGCTTGGACCCGGGGCAGGTGCCCGCGGGGGTTAGCCTCTGGGTTTCCTGAGGGAGGGGCCGAGGAGGCATGTGCTGGCTTCCCTTGGGGGGCAGGGGGTGAGAGAATCCTGGGAGGAGGCAGATGCAGGGGACTTTGCTGCCACTGGCACCCTGCCCCCACTTCCCAGACTCCACTCCCCTATCCCCAGCAATAGAATTCCGTCCCCACTCCCCAAACTCTGTCCCCACTCCCCTGTCCCCATTCCCGTCCCCACTGGCACTCTGTCCCCTCTGCAGAACCCTGTCATCTGCCCGCAGAACTCTGTCCCCACAAAATGTATAATTATAAATGCTTCATTTTAGATATAAATAGCATTAATAAAAAACAGACCATTTATTTCATAACTATAAACACGTGATTTTAATTTTATATATCGCATAATTTAAAAATAAAGTGTTTATCAGAGTGTGTAAGTAAGGGCTGGGGATAGCAAGTGATGGACAGGAGGAGAATAGAGAGGGCGGGGCTTCAAGAAAGGGGCGGAGCTTCAAAGAAGGGGCGGAGCGGTAGATCTTCGCCTGTTCTGAGATTTAAAAAGTAATCTTTGGTGTAAAAAGGTTGGAGACCACTGTTTTAGCACTTGTATTGTTCCATTTATATATGTCAGTTTTCACCTTCTGGAATGTGGCGGTAATCCAATGCTACAAAGAGTGATCATTTTACTCTCTCTCACATCAAACTTTTTATCATTTTAATAAAGTTGTTATTATAAAAACAAGTTAGACTCTATACTTCCGATGTGGTTACTTAAACATTAATATTTCTTAATTCAATACTGCATGAATAATATTTTAAAATATACTTACCTCCAAATCGTTCCAACATAGTTTGTACTTCGCCCCTACAAAATATTGTTTAAATTACTTGATGTGACTATTTTTGTATAAATTACAATGAAATTAAAAGCAGTGTATATACCTTAAAGTTTAACTATATAGTTTAAATATATAACTTTTATATTATTTGTTACAGTTGACAAAATTATCACTGTTGTACAAGACAGAAAATTACAGCAATCCTTGTGCTGAGGAACTTACAAACTAAAATAAATACACATGCACATGACATGGGATGCATCAGAAAATCCAGACATAGACTTGCATGATTTTTATTAACTAACTTCCTGAGGACAGCAAGGGAGTATTCAATCTGTAAGGGGGAAGGAGGAAAAGAGGATAAACCGGTAAATCGACATTGGGAGAATTCTACATCTGAGGATGATGAGAGGCATGGGAAAAGAGAACTGCAACAACGTGGTTGGCATCACTGCAGGGGTGTTGATACAAGATAAGGTGCAATAAGTAGATTGAAATGGATTTGTATATCACTTTTAAGGAAATAAGATTAAACCAGTATGTGTGTCAGTGAGGAAATAGCAGAGAGATTAAATAAGGGTACAGCATTCTGGGCAACAGGAAAGAAACATATCTCTTTTTTACGGCATCTTATCTGTAAAGTACCGTTTTCTTTGTGCTATAGAAGAAACGGTTTCTATCTCAATCCCCCAATCTTCACAGACTGGAATCTACTATCACTAAGACTTACTCCAACTCTGTATATTTTCAAACATAAGCCTCAAAAGGCTGACTTTACTTATATCTTTTCAGGTAATAATGGACACATTTAATTTTTGAAGCATGACTGTCATTCTCAAGAAAAATAAGAAGTGGTGAAGAAATTGAGCAAAATGATATAACTGTTTAGGATGGAACTCAAACTACCTTTGGGAGTAAACAAGGATTTTGAGAAGTCACAAAACAAATATTAATAAGTTTTTTTAGCCGATGATCACATGCCAACTTTTGGATATTTTAATATAAAACATATAGAAGTTGTCCTTTTCTTATACATAACTGTAGTCAGGACTACTTTACCAATATATTACTAATAGATTTTACTTTAAAAAAATCTGAATAGAATCTACTAGGAAAAAATAGGGACATTAAATTTCAGTGATTAATATGTATATGGATTTTTTTCTTAATAAAAAGATTTTTAAGCAAATTACCCCACATCTTCTTCAACTACAGGATGAGGAGTCACTGAAGGTCTTTTTTTCCCATGTTTATCAATTACTGGAGTGTCACCTTTATATATTAAAAACAAACAAAACAATTTACACTTACAAAACATTTTGCTGGAAATTATTTTACTTAAAGGGGTAATTACTTACTTATGCATAATTCTGCTTTCTTACAAGATTTGCATCATGAAGGATTTCCAGTCTTGGGTTTTAGCTCTCTAGAATGAACCATGTTGGAACTCCTCTAGCTCTTGGCTATCTGATGCACTGGAATCTGGCCACAAACCCCTCCCTCATGTTAGAGTTGAACTGTTTCTGCCTTGGTTCCCCTGTAACTGCTAAATCACTTCCTGAATGCTCAAGCAATAACAGCTTACAATAGGGGTGGGTAAAGGGACCTCCGCGGGCCAGATCCAGACTGCCAAGCCGGTGGATTGGGCCTGCGGCTGTCCTGTGGCTCCCACATCCCCAGGCCAATCAGACACTGGGGATGGGGGAGCACACAAAGTCTCCTCGCCCCCGCAAGAGCACACACTAGAGACACACACCGGCTGTTTTAAAACAGAGTCTGGGGGCAAGGAGTGCACTAAGTCTCTCACATCCTGTCCCTACCCTGCCAGGGGCGCACAGCAACTAGAGAGACACACCAGCTGCTGTGTGCTCTTGTAGGGGCGAGGAGACTTCATGTGCTCCCCCGCCCAGAAGCACTGATTGGCCTAGGAGCAGGGTGAGCATGCAAGTTCTCCTCCTGCTAGGCTCCTCGAGGGAACTGCCAGGTGTTTTAAAATAGCAAGAGCTGGCATTTCTCTCCTGGGGGGTAGGGCAGGGGAGGGAAGGGGAAGACTTCTTGTGCTCCCCCACCCCAGGTCAATCAGTGTGGGGGTCAATCTGTGTACAAGAAGTCTCCTGGCCCAAGGTCCCACCCCTTCCGGGATGGCTCAGGGCCACTTGAGAAATTTCTGAAAAGGCCCTCTTTTAAAAATTATTGCCCATCTCTGGCTTACAAAGAGAACATTTGCTAAAATTCATGACAATCATCTCAAAAGCGGAAACAATCTAAACCTTAAAAATAACCAAACAAAGCAGTCATGTAGCACTTTAAAGACTAACAAGATGGTTTCTTTGGTGATTAGCTTTTGTGGGGGCAGACCCACTTCTTCAGATCAGACTAACATGGCTACCTCTCTGTTACTTTTCAAAAATAGCTAATCACCTTAAACTGGAAATCTAAATTCTGAGGGGAAAAGAGGTGAGTAAATGGTAATACTGTGAAATTAGATCCTTATCAAGAATTAAAGCTAAATAACCATCCCTTCTTTAAAAAGGATTCCAAATACAGGCAGTCCCCGGGTTACGTACAAGATAGGGACTGTAGGTTTGTTCTTAAGTTGAATCTGTATGTAAGTCGGAACTGGCGTCAGCCGCTGCTGAAACTGATCAGTTTCAGCAGCGGCTGAATCAGGACGCCTGGGGCAGAGCTGCTGGGTTGGTCCAGTAGCGCCGAGGAGCCGCGCTACGGGAGCAACCCAGCAGCACCCCAGCTGCTCTGCCCCAGGCATCCCCAAGTCAGAGGCTGGGGAAACTGACCAGCGTTGACTACAGGAAGCCCGAGGCAGAGTTGCTCTGCTCTGGGCTTCCTGGAATCAGCCTCTGATCAGTTTCAGCAGCGGCTGAATCAGGACGCCTGGGGCAGAGCTGCTGGGTTGGTCCAGTAGCGCCGAGGAGCCGCGCTACGGGAGCAACCCAGCAGCACCCCAGCTGCTCTGCCCCAGGCATCCCCAAGTCAGAGGCTGGGGAAACTGACCAGCGTTGACTACAGGAAGCCCGAGGCAGAGTTGCTCTGCTCTGGGCTTCCTGGAATCAGCCTCTGATCAGTTTCAGCAGCGGCTGAATCAGGACGCCTGGGGCAGAGCTGCTGGGTTGGTCCAGTAGCGCCGAGGAGCCGCGCTACGGGAGCAACCCAGCAGCACCCCAGCTGCTCTGCCCCAGGCATCCCCAAGTCAGAGGCTGGGGAAACTGACCAGCGTTGACTACAGGAAGCCCGAGGCAGAGTTGCTCTGCTCTGGGCTTCCTGGAATCAGCCTCTGATCAGTTTCAGCAGCGGCTGACGCCAGTTCCGACTTACATACAGATTCAACTTAAGAACAAACCTACAGTCCCTATCTTGTACGTAACCCGGGGACTGCCTGTACACAGGATTTCCATTACTGGTCAGGAAGAAAAACACAACCTAACATCTCAAATATGAGACCGCAGCCCAAAATCTTCAGATTTTACTATCTCAAACTAATACTATAAATTATTTAATTGTGGGGAAAAAAAGGGAAAACCCAGGTCACGCCTGTTAAAAGACTGTATCAACCTTGTTTTTATTCAGCATCAGCAATGTCCACAATGAACAGTAATTACAGGCAGTCCCCGGGTTACATGGATCCAACTTACATCGGATCCCTGCTTACAAACGCGGTGAGGCAACCCCACACTAGCTGCTTCCCCCCAGCAGACCAGGGAGACGCGAAGCTAGTGTCCCCCCCGCCCAGCAGACCAGGGAGAGGTGGAGCGGCTTTTCTCAGCAGACACTTCAGCTTGAGAATAAAGGGCTGAGGGAAGTGAGGTGTGGGAGAATAAAACTGAGCTCTGGAGAAATGTTTGGCTAGAGTTTCCCCTACAATATGTACCAGTTCCGACTTACATACAAATTCAACTTAAGAACAAACCTACAGTCCCTATCTTGTACGTAACCCGGGGACTGCCTGTACTAATCTTTCAGTAACTTTAAACATATATAGAGACGCACACTTCATAAAACTTGATGAAAATTCTTTCAGTGGACATACTGCACCTTCCCTAATATCTTCCTCTGATCCACTCAAGTTTTTCTTTTCCTCTTCCTGAAAGTCATAGGCACTTATGGCTTGATCTTCCTGTACTGATTTGCCAGCTTTCCCTGCATGCTTTCTTCCAGGTGGTGCCATAATCAGAGGCTTTTTCTCTACTGTAACAAACATACTGTATTTGTTAACCACCTCCTCCCATGATTTTTAAAGAGTAAAATTCCAGTGATTCCTCCTGAAAATATGGAATATAAAACCTCAAGCCTATGTATTTTCATTTTCTGAATTACTTTAATTTGTAGCTATGCTTTGTAGACTCAGTTTCCAGTAGTTTGCATAAAGGAATACAATCGTATTTTTTAAATATTGATAGTGCTCCTGTAAATATATGGCATTAATTTAATTACTTAAGGCATTAGAGTTATGTACTCCTTTGTACAATAGTTAAAATAAATGTTTAAAATGACATATTTTGAAGAAAAGTTAAATATTGTTAAAAGTATGTGTATGCTAAAATGACATCAAATACTTTGATCAATGCTCCCTGTTCAAGAAAATTACACATATGTAAAATGTGTTTGAGTGCATGGCTGACTAAAGTACTAAATTACATCAGCAGAATTTGGCTGTGGAGGTATTCTAGCCAACAGAAGTGATTTTCAAGTGTCCCTTTGGTGTACTTCTGTGAATGTGTTATAGTGATTTATAATTTTAAAAATTCCTTCAAAATGAAGTCAAGCTACTTGAGGTGAAGAAAGATGAAACAGGGAAAATAAAAAGTAGTCTTAGAGTAGCCCTTTTCCCAAATGTGACTACAGAAGGAAAAGTGTAACCAAGTCAGTGAGTTGCTAAATGTGAGTTGGAAAATTATCAACAGATAATTTTGATAACAAAACTTTTTTCCTCTGAGAAGAAAATACATCAGCCTAGAGCAATGACAATCTAAATGAGATCTTAAGTAAAAGATACAGTATCTATAAATTATATTTACACAATACCCTCTATCTCAAAGTATTGAATAAACAAACTGACATACACTGTTATGCTCATGTACAGACCAATTTTAAAAAGATGATTCTATCCACCCACCCCAAACTACCACACCACTGCATATTTCAAGACTCCACGAACAAGAAAACTGTAAATCAACTGCCATATAACTAAATTAACAAACCACTATTCCCTTCACTCCAACCCTCTCTGAATTCTCATTAAGGATTAGTTCACCTCAAGGTTCTGATACAATTCCCAATGGCTTCAAAGGAGGTCTATTCCTCAAATGCTTCTCTGTTAAGGTCAACACTTAACAGGTCTTGCAAGAAGTAGGCATGTAAATACTAATAAAATGCATATATTAAATTTGAAAATTACCCTTTTTAAATAAAGGGAAATAAAAGTAAAAAATCATATGTTCATGCATACGAAGATTGAACAGTCAAAAGTTTAGGTTTTCACAGAAAATTTTACAAATACAGAACCTTATACTTCTATTTTTTCAGTTCCTTTTATATCTTGTTATACTTTCAATTGAAAAATTTGTACCATAAAATAAATGGACAGTATGTGCAACATGGCCAAATTATACTGCTATAGGAAACTTCAGTTTGAAGATCAAACTTTGTATGCTTATGAATCAAGTTCTAATTAGGGATGTTAACATGTAATTAAGTAACCATTTAACTGCTGAAAAATTCAGCAGTTAACACACAGGGAGGCAGTCCGACCCAAGATGCTGCCTCTGCATCTTCATGTGTACTCAGAGCCTGTGTGTAACTGTGAACGTTAACCAATGATCCCAGGGTCACTGGTTAACCATTTACACCATTACACTTTCACATCCCTAATTTCTATATAATGTTTTGTTTTTAAAAAAATACATTAATGTATGATTTTTTAAAAAAACTTCCTAACATGAGATTGCCAGTTTTGGTTGACTGTATACATGGAGGTTTCATCACGACATAATTTTAATTTTAATTCCTGGAGACTCGAGGGAAATCTTTTGGAGTTGATAAGCCTATCCCCTGAAAGAAACCCCGAAAACTTTCGGACAAATCTAGAAATCCTGTCGTCTGGCTTTCAGGTGCTCATGGTGACATAGGCTCCAAGTTGTGCAGGTGTGGTGCCAAAAACCTGGTCAGCTTTCACAGGCTAACTTTGGGAAATGTGTGTGTGGGGGGGGG